TGACGAAGTGGAATTTAAGGCTTGGAGGAAGAAAAATGCTACAGCTTTACATGCCATTCAAATTTCATGCAGGCCTGACATGCTTGTCAAGATTGGGAACCCTGGTTCAGCCAAAATTGCTTGGGATAATTTGGCCAACGCATTTAGAAAGTCCTTGCAGCAGCAGCAGCAAGTATCAAAAGGTAACTAATGCTATCAATCCAACCAACTCCCCTTTTCTCATTCTTGTGATATATACAGGTACTAAGGAAAAGACACCAGTACTTTAGGTGTATAACAAGTGATTAGTACTTTAGTAATTTTGATTTTTTTTTTAAAAAAAAGGCTTCATATCACTTTGTTTATAATTATTCTGTGTGGATATTACAGTTGATTTTTTTTTTTTTAGATGTTGTGATTATTTAGTTGGAGTTATTTTTAATTTAATTTAATTTAAATTTTTTATTGTTATGGATTTATTTATAATTTTTTGTATTGATGATATGGCTTTATATAAATATATATTCTTTTTTATTATTTAATTTTCATTACCAACAGAACGTCACCTTTTTTTTTTTTTTTTTACTTTAACTACAAATAGAATTTAAATTTTTTTTTTAATTAATTCTTTAGGACAAACCTCAAAAAAGTCATGGGGATAATCTTGATTATGTCATCAACCTACTTTTCTCAATTTGGTCCTCTACATGTCAATAGATTTTCAATCAGATCTTTCTATCGGTTTCACCGAATAAAATTGTTGACTGATCACGCTAAAGTCAAATGATTTCTCTTTTTGCACAAAAATCTTTGAATGCCTGAGATCCTTCCGAAATACACTAACTTGTGTTCAAAAATCTTTGAATTCTCTAAGATCCTTCCGAAATACTCTTAACTTGTTTTAGAATATATCAATAATCTATCCTCACAGCGCAACACATGCCAACATAATAAATGCAAGATCATTCAATCAAGCAATTAATTATCACTGTTACACTTTTTCAGCAGCATGATCATGCATGTTTCTTTATGACATTAGTATTAAAAAAAAAACAAAGTATTTTGGGTGCAGGAATGGCATTCCAGGATGAATACGGTCCATGTGCTTACCTAGAAAAGTTAGTACATAGAGGTGATTGGGATTCTACCATACACTTTGCTAAGCTAGATCCAGATGTATTAAATGGAAAGATTACATCCTTCGGCGAGACAGCTCTTCATATAGTTACTCGCACTGGAAATGGGGAGAATGTTGGAAAGTGGGTAGAGTTAATGTCAGCAGAAGCCTTGGCGATAAAGGATTATAACGGTAATACAGCCCTTCATCTTGCTGCATTTGCAGGAAGTACAAAGTTGGCTAGGTTCATGGTCGAAAAGAACCCCAACTTGGTTGCCATTGCAAATAACACAGGATTTATCCCGATTGTATTGGCTTGTGCAAATGGGCATAGGGATATGACTGTCTATCTATACACAAAAACACCTTTTCAAGTGCTGTCTCAAGAAAACGGCTGCCATGGGTCTTTATTCCTCCAATATGTTATTATATCCAAAATGTTAGGTAAGAGCTAGCTAGCTAGCTGATGATCGATCTCATTTCAAATGTGATCAGAAATAAGGCTGCGCGCATAACCTTATGTTCTTATTGTTTACCAGATATTGCTTTGGAAATACTCCACCGTTGTCCTAGTTTGGCTACTGCGAAGGATGTTGCTGTTTTCAATAGAACTGCTCTTTCGATATTGGCTATGTCCCGAGACATATTTCCAAGTGGATGTCAACTTCGATTTTGGCAACGATGGATCTATTACTGTTAGTATATACTACTCTATATTTTAATCTTCTTAATTATTAATTACTACATAATTCGGTTGTTTATAAATTCAGTTCGACTCCATTTTTCATAAAATTGAAGACAGAACAAACTACTATTTGGTCATCCCAACCTATCGGCACTCATGGAAACTGCAGAAAACACGTCAAATTCCTCAATTCCTACCGTGGTTGCAGTCTCTAATTCACATACCATGATTACTTTAAATCTTCTCAAAAGATCATTTCATCTGAGAACTTGAGTTGTCAAGTAAAACTTCAGAATATGATAATGAAAGCTCTTTAGAACTTAGCTGTTAAATGAAGTCCTAAGATATGATTTATGTTATTCTCTACCAAACCCGTTGCTACAACCCTCTCCTTCATACGAACTTCCTTCATTCCTCTCTCTAGTGTTCATTATTTTATCTCTTTTAAACCAACCACTACACATTATTTGTACTGGAAAATTAACCCATCCTACCGGGATAGTCGTTTCGCAACCCAATCCACTAAGTTCATGGTGTATGTATATAAGACATTGTTCATCCATATATATATAACCCTACGCTAATTAAATGCATCCTCCTTGTCTCGATAAAAGGGATATATGCTAAACCCCTCGTTCCCAGCGGCTACAGTGTTCACATCGATGGTCTCGAACAAAGCCAGTGCTGTGAATCCAGGAGCATTAAGCAACAAGGTAAAAAGAGTTCTGTTGATCTCATCTGCAGCTTATACGTTTTTTATGTAGTTATACTAACTTCCTTTTCGTACATTTTGAAGTGTTAGGTCAACTGCATGGGCTTGGTATAAAATTCCTCAAATTCTTAGGTAATCTTTTCCCGTACAATATCCTTTTCTCGTATCATTAGCATCACTATATATTTTTCCTGATTTTGTTCATTTTTTCTAGGAATCAAGAAAATATATGATTTGAAGATGATCCATACCTATTCTAGTAAACTTCTATGTAGTATATGTAGACATATATCAACCTTGGATGAAAGTAGAAGCTATCACAATGGATTACCAGGAGTATTCTTGAATGCAGTTGAGCATGGTGTAATAGAGTTAGTCATGGAGATGGTTACAGTTTCTCCTTCTCTTCTGGATACTGTTGATCAGAATGGAAGAAATCCAATTATGTCCTCCATTGTAAATCGTCAGGAAAAGGTTTTTAGCCTTTTTTATGGGTTAGCAGGAACTCAAGGAAATAATTTTACAATGGATAGATTTGGCAATACAGAGTTGCATCTGGCCGGAATGCTTTCACCCCGCTCTCAGTTGGATCGAATCTCAGGACCAGCCCTTCAGATGCAACGGGAACTGCAGTGGTATAAGGTCAATCATCTCCTCAAACCTAATGAATATCTATGAATAGTTTTGTTTGATATTTCTGTACTCGCTCATATTATGTAGCTTGATGATATTTTAGCAGAAAGTGGAACACATCATTCATCCTGCAGCAAAGTATACCACCAACCAAATTGGTGAAACACCTGCCCAGCTTTTTACAAATGAACATAGGCAGTTGATGATAGAAGGGGTGAAATGGGTGAAGGACACTGCAAGTTCTTGTACAGTGGTGGGTGCCTTAATCATTACAATAATGTTTGCAGCAGCTTTTACAGTTCCGGGTGGTAATGTGCAAAATGAAGACAAAGGTGGGAAGGGGCCAAAAATGGGAAATCCAGTATTCTTAGGTAGAACAACATTCAAGACTTTTATAGTTTCGGATGCAATTTCTCTCTTCGCTTCATCTGCCTCAGTCGTGACGTTTTTGGGAATCCTCACATCTAGTTATGGAGAGCAAGATTTTCTGGAATCTTTGCCCAGGAAGTTGATAATCGGCCTTTCCACACTTTTCATCTCACTTGCCACCATGATGGTTGCCTTCTGTGCAGCTCTCATACTTACGTTAGATGGAATGGTAGAGGCTATCATCCCGCTTGGTTTGCTTGCTACTGTCCCAATCACCCTTTTCATGTTTTTACAATTTCCCCTCCTGGTTGAAATCTTCATGTCAACATATGGACCCAGCATTTTCAACAGGAAAATAAAGCATCGGTACTAAATGTAGTTATTTTTGTGTCAAAAGAGCCCGTCTATTTCATGTGGACTAGTTAAATTTGTTGAAACTTCATCAAGACGATATTCTCGACTAAGTTTAAAAAAAGTTCAGCAATAATCTCTTTGTTGTTGGACAACAGAGTGTTGAATCCTCTAATGCCAACAAAATCTCCTCATATGTTGCATTTTCTATGTGTTGGTATACTTGCCAAGAGCATTCATGGTATTAGGATGGGCTCAAACGACCATTGAAAGATGATGACTTACCTAAAAAGGCTCTAGAGTTGAGTGTTTCTCATCTCTTTGCACAACAAATCTATTGAATTATTGAATGAGATTCTTCAAATTCTATCAGTTGATTTCACAAAAGTTCATATGACAGATTTTGAAAGTTAAATTCTGATTTCAATAGTGTTACTTCATTTGTTAATAAGCTGAGATTTGTTTGTTTTACTAGCGTGAACTGAGCAAAAAATGTTATAGTTGATAGTCTATCTAGGCATAGTATTAGCAGGCAAGAAGAATTACTAACTTGATTCTAATTTTTGTAGCTTTATTTGTACTTTGTTTCTGTCACTATTTTACTGGTTTCTATTCAAAATTTATTGATTTTCATAATATCAAAAACCGAGGGGGTGCGGAAGAAGAAAAAGATGATGACCTAAAAAATTAAGGCCATCACTGATTTGTTGGTACTTGGCATGCTTGCAGATGGATTCCAAGTCATATATAATTGCCATGCTATTGGTGAACTAGTAGCTAACACGAAATTATTTCAAGTTTGATCGATTTTCTTTTCTTCTAGCTAGTAGCTTCAGATCATGGAAAAGTGTAGCTAAATATGCTCTTTTCAGACGTTCTTTATTTGTCAAGTGAAGAGGAAACTAATGGGGAGATGAAAATTTTAGCTAAAAGCAAAAACCAACGTAGGAGTTAATTTAATTTGTACAAGCCTTTAAATATAATCAAACAGTAATCTTTTTCTAACACAAGAGAATAAGTATCCACCATGGAGCATCGCGTACAGAAGCATTCAACCAAAGAATATATTGTTTTGTAACAGCCTTGAGAGAGGAAATCATTGACCTGTTTGGTGTGGATGAAGCGGCAGCGATGAACTTGAACCAACCAATTTGTCAGATGACAGTTGAAACCTTTGCTGCGGGTGTTGAATGGCGTGCTACAAATGACTCAACAAGTGGGTTCACGAGATGAGGTGCTTCATCCTTCATGAACATCAACAAAAGAAAGTTGTCAGATTTTAGCACAAAAATCAACACAAATATCCATCCACAGTTGCTTAATGTGATTGTTGCTTCTTCAGAAAAGCTAGAACATGCTTTCTAATTGTATTTTGTACTGATTTTTAATTCAAGCAAAACACAGGACACAGAAATCTTTATACCAAATTTCCGCAAGTATTAACATGCCTTACGGTCCAGTCTCATATGCCCAGGAAATGCAGCACATAAACAACACTTAAGCACAGGTGAGACATGCACATTACGCAGGCGTACATACTCGCATGTGTGTGTCTTTTGAGAGAGAGAGAGAGAGACCTGAGGGCAGTGGCCAACATTAGGGAGGGCAATGAAATCTTCTACAGAGTCGAAATTTCTAAAGCCTCGTCCAAGTTCAATGGGTTCCCATGGATCCTTGTCCCCCCATACTATCGAAACAGGACACTGTTAAAAAATACATGAAATACAGACTGACATCAGCATATGTAACATTCCAATAATGAAAACTACAGTTTCTATGCGTCTGCAGATTTAGTTGAAGAGACTGACCTTCACCTGAGGCAGTAGCTCCTCAGGAAGCGGACCCCCGAGTAACAAATGAACTCAAGAAATACATCTGCGGCACCAGGCTCAAGTCCTGGAAGAAGGATCTTCTGTACAAGCTCCTCTGTCACCTGGGAAGTGTCATGATAACACTGAAATACGACACACCAGAAGCAGTATCAAAATTCTGCCTCCTCGGCCTCAAAATTTAGTTGTTGTGAATTTAAATGAGATCCTAAATCAATTTTTGATATTATTGTATATTGAAACAAACATGTCACAAAAGAAACTATTAGTACGACTCGCAAAATTTACAGATTTCTATTCCAAACACCTCATCCTTCTTTGTATTTAGCCTTCATACTTATAAATGCTGTTTCCAAAGAAAGGTAAAAGAAGTACTTATCATGCCACAATAGAACACCTGACAAAGAATACTTCTCACAGACTCTGAAGTGGCAACTGATTTGAAGAAAAATTTGCCCAAAGCGGTATTCCTGTAAAAACAGTATGAGTATCTGAAAGTCAAAGATGGCAAGCTTGAACGCCTTGACTAACAGCAAGAGAACAACTCTGTTTTACCTTAGCAAACTTTGGAATGATCTGATAAAAGGCCTTCCAAACCGTGGCTGCTTTTTAATGTGAAGCAAACGCAAGGATATATTTAACAACATGATGCCCTTACAGATCTGTGGCTCTGTAACTGCTGCCTGAAGACCAGTAACTCCTGCATAAAGACCAGAAAAGCTAAGATGGACAAGTTATTATGATCACTTTAAATTTCCAAGTAATCATTTCCCAGTATTTGACTAAAAAGACATGATTTTAGTCGTGGACAAAGGTGCTGCTATGACGTTTAAATGTACGACTACATGTGCAGATATGACTAAAAAAAGTTGCAAATATTTGCCTAACATGCTTTCCAGGTATACATTGAAGTAGACCCACCAGTATGAGCCAATAACTGGTCCAACGTATGTTACTTTCCAATTTTTTTGCAACCAAATGCACATACAAAGATCGGTGAAACAGAGAAACTAACAAGGAAAACCCAAGGATTCATCTAAATGACCAGACCATCAGAAAAATTGATTACCTCCTATCGAATTGCATATGAAGAAAGCCTCGTCTTTGACTACATCAACACAAAAGTCATTTAGCTGGCTAGCCCATGTATCAAATGTATAAAATGAGTTGTCTCCAAATTCCCGAGGATTTGGTTTATCTGAGTATCCATAACCAATGAGATCAATTGAGTATACTCTATGTGATTTTGCAAGAACTGGAATATTTTTCCTCCAATGGTCACTGTAACGAAGAATTGAGTTATGAATAATAGTCATCTTAAGTTAAGGATACAAAGAGATCAGAGAACAAAGTTTATACACAACCATCACTAAGTATACTATATATGAAACATGTGTGATGCCTTGGAATTTAGTTTTCCTTTTCTGCAGTTGAATTTACCATCAAATGAATGGAATCAATTAGAATACTACAAATCTACATGAGTGGAAACTATGAGTCTTGAAGTCAATGAAACACAACCCACTTCTATGCCATCCCAATTTAAAGCTAAATGGAAGATATATATGCAACAGGCAATGTGAATGTAAATGAAGCTTGACAACGTAGAGCAATTGGCACATTTAATACCTATAGCAATTAGTTGCCTGCTAATGAGAAGCAAAATGTCAATGATGTAGACCTGTTTGCTCCAAAACCATGAACTAAAACTAGAGCAGGGCCATTGTTCCCAGCAAACTGATAGCGAATAGAATACCCCTTCCATTTCCACACACTGCAACAGAGAATATTACATTACAACATGAGAAAAACAAAGCTCTTGTGATCTAACTATAAGATCATCGAGTGATATAGCAAAACGGTGCACAAGAGGTACATAAACAAAAAAATTTTGCAAAAATAAAGACACCACTCGCAGGTGTCAAGAGAATATTTCTACCATGCAAATTCCCTTCACATTATTTCAATTCACTTATCAGGGAAGGAAAAAAACTCAAATGAAAATTATAAAACAGTTACATTTGCTTCGAATACCCTCCTTTGCATTGGACAATCATGGAGATCAGTCACTTCACCAAGCCTTTCGATTCCAGGTTTTCGGACCGAAACATCAGGACATAGAATTAGGAATTAGAGGCTATTAACCATTTTTTGGTACTTTTATGATCTACAAACTGATCCTTTCCATTATGAGCCCCATCATCATAATGTTAAGTCCTAGAATTTATTCAAAGAATGCAACTTTATATATGTCACCGGACAAATACTGAGAAGCAATTAACTAATCAAAGTTAATCAAAACGTAAAAAATTTACAAAAAGAAAAATAATAATACAGCGTCCTAATCACTCAAAATCAACCAATTTACATAAATTAAACAGATCGTCACTTCGATATCTCAACAACCCAATAACACAGCTAGGATAATCAAGCACAAGAACTTTAAGAAACGAACAAACCTGCTTTGAACTTGAGGTTCATTGGCTCCTTCACTTGATGAACTGATATTATTCGCATCAATCTGACTGTTATTGACTGAATAATCACTTGCAGAAGAATGTACCAAAAACCCATTCGATTTAAGACCTGAAAGTTTCCAACTGGTATGAGAAACAGTGCTGAAGTTACTGTGAAAAGGGATTTTATTGGTAAAAGGGAGAGGGAGGGATATTGGTGACGACACTGTTGTTGCCGTACTCAAGCTCCTGCTATAGTTTTTTCTTTGTGGGGATAGAAATGCGAATTCTAGCTTTGTTGATGGTAGTGTTAGAGAAGTGGTATTTGCCATTTGCTTGACAACGGGAGAAGTTCAGAGAGACAGAGAGAGAGAGAGAGAGAGAGATTCGAGTGGTTAAAACCGTTTTCTGTTTCATGTTCGGTCGTTCTACACGTAGCCAAACATTTTGTTGTCTTACGTGGTAGTGTGACTATCCCACTTATGGTTTTAGATTCGAGGATGAGGGAGAGACCCGACCCAACCCGACCCAACCGATATCCATTTTGTCCGTCTGAAAAAAAACCCAACTTTTATCTAACCGGATAAAAAATAAGAAAACTAGAAACTTGTTTTTTCTTATAATTTCAAACCTCAATTATTTTTATTAAATAAATATTAAATCCTAAATATTGAATAAAATAGGTGTGTAACTCGTGCCAAAAACTTAATAATAATTAAATTTTTGTACTTTATATATATTATATACAATGATAATTTCTTCTAATTATATTATAAAAAAACCGATTTGGTTTCAATTTCGACTTGGATTTGGTCGAATTATGCTACTCTCAGGTACTAATCCGACCTGTTCCAAACAGAAGACTGCATTCCAACCTACGACTACTATGTTTGGATTTCAGAATCTAAAGGTTTTCTTTTCTTTTTATTTTTATAAGAAAAATAAAAAATAAAAATGATTTAGTGTTGTTGAGATCCAACTAGCTAGAATATTTGTTGGATTTCATAACATTGGCAACTACTGAGGACGTACAGAATAAATTCGTCAACAGAAGTATCAGGTTTGTCCTCATCTAAATTGTAGGATTTTACAAGAAGAAATCAAAAACAAAGGATTAATATTGTAGATGGACCCAAGCATTATTTATCTTCAGCTTTTGCATTAGTGGACGTTTGCATCATGTGATGAAGTACAAATCTAGTTGTGGAATGGTAGTTTATATGTTTTTTTTCTAAGTACAAAACTTCCCTAGCTTGTGATGGATTACTTTAAATTTGACCGTATATGAGCCAACTTGAATGTGAGTTGTTGATTTCTAACAACTCATTTCTGTTTACTAGCTATTTCCTTTGATGCATGATCTTCATGTGCTGTTTTGGATTCGATATCAAATATTTATAAGCAATGAATGAAAGTATGATACATGTTTTGTGAGAAAAAAATCATAAGATCACACGCTAAAAAAAATATAAATATTATTAGAAAATCTATCTCATGTATATCAAATATAAAGTTTTAAAAAAAAAAATCATTCATTACAAGGTTTAAGTTTTTTTTTTTTTTTAATGAAATTCGTTTTTGAACGATCTAACTTAATATTGCATCGAGTTTAAAAAAATTTAATGATTCAACAAAACTTTTGAAATTGAAATCACTTGACAAACTTTAAAAAAAGCAGACTGCATATGAGAATAATAAGTGTTTAAAAACCTATTTTACATTGAATATAAAATTGAAAAATGATAAGAAATTACAAAATTTAGGTTTTTTTAATTAAAATTTAATCTCCAATAGTTAATTTAATGATAACAATTGAGGTGACATTCTCCTAAAATTACTATCTCAAAAATTATTATCTCATGCATCAACTTGGTAGGTAATGGTAATTTTAGAAGCATATTCAACAATTTTTCATTCAATTAATTATGCTTCTAGCTAGTGTCCAAGTTATTAATGATTCTAAGTTTCAAAAACAGAAGAAAATGTTTAATATTCGTCATTCCATTTCATCTTAATCGGAATATAGATGGAGATTTTCATTTTGTTCAACCCTAAATTTCTAGAATAGTTTGTTTTTTCAGAAAAGCACAGGTGCCGTGCTTTCGTCTCACATCAATTCTCAAAACAAAGCTAGAGGCATACGGGGTCCTGCTGCCTCTTCAACTTGCAATGCTATTCGTTGCCATAACTGCAGCACGGTCTCCGTACGCTGTCCACTGTGGCTTCTTTTGTGGATGCAATTCTTTGATAGTTAAAAAATTCTGAAAACATTTTTGAAATATTACCAAACATTTTTAGTTGAATTTTGATGCAAAAGACAAAACCTCCAAAAAAAAGAAGGAAAAAAAGCCTAGAACACCATTTTTGGCTAAATTCGCAGGATTCTATCTGCTTCTGCATCCTGGGGAATTGTCAGCAAGATGAAAAAGCATACCGTAAGCAAACCAATCAAGTCTTTTTCTTTGCCCGCATTACTATGCATTATCTTCAAAAAGAAGAGCAGATATATAAAGGCAGTGCTGCTTCAGAATTTGGCAATTTGGCACCTGGGGTTGACTTGTGGATCACATGAGTAGCAGAGCAATATAAAGGCACACCAAACATTGGCCATAGACGGGAGGCTCAGGCATATTAGCAGAAACAAATTTCCAGACAACAGACCATTGACCCTTTGGCTGATACACATCGAGGAGAGTACAGTAATGGCAAGGAAAGTTTGGTCTGTCTAACAAAATCTGACCCTTTCTCCTTAGAACGTTTGGTTAGTCCCTATAGGCCATTACCTGCCTAGCCAGTAAGCCCACCAAAAATATTCACAAATCTACTGGTCAAATTCAGTCGAAATACACGTCTTTCCCCTCCTATAAGGCCCATTTTGCCTGGCGCATGGACATGAAACCTACAGGTGTACCTAGTGCCTCACTATTCATATAAAAAGAGAATGACGCAAACACAATAAAATTCTGCTACTTTCTTACATGGACATTGCAAGAACTCTCAACCTTTCGCTTCTCCCCATAAAAAGATTTCACCATGCATGACCCCATTTGATCATTCTTCCACACTGTTACCAAAATGCATTTTACAAAAAGGTTCAAATCTTTCCATTGGCTTCTTTTAAATGGTCGATTTTCGCGGCACAAACTCAGGTAAGTCTGTCCTTCCTTGCTCCTCCTAATTATTGTTCTTGGTCCATTTTTTGCTTTGCCATGCTTTTCTCAGTTGTTAACTAAATTATATTAAATTAATGGAAATGTGTTGAGCTATGAATTTGCTTATTTGATGTGTTAAACTGTTAATTTTCATACAGACATGTATTCTTGCTTGTTTCTGATAGAATCAAGTTTGTTTTCCATGTTAAAGCACTCTTGCATAGGGGTCTGTCAAGCCATTTTTTAAAGCCTGAACTTGAACATGTTGGTACTTCGTTTCTCTTGATTCTATTCAGCCATTAACTTCTCAATAAAAAGAAAAAACAATAAAAAAGAATTTGAATCATCAAAATAATGATGTGCTAACCAATTGAAGATGGAAGATTAGCAAAAATATTATAACGATCAAACATTTATCATAGAGATTAATCCATTTTGCCTTAATTAGCATTGATGGAGTAAATGGGATTGCACATGGTTGGTCAAGAACGTTAGGTTGCAGGAGTTCAATAAGTCTATATGTATAAATGCCTGTGTACCGTATGGTTCAAGTTAGTAATTGAGTTCACTGTTTGGAAAAAAAATAATAACCAATATTCTTTTACAATATTAGGAATTTTATTTTGATACATTTTTACCATAAAAATTGTATCCAAAACCATAGGCAGCCTTAACCCCCACGGACCAAACCCAAATAATGCAAGGCAAAAAAACCATTGTTTGGTAGACAAGAACACCCATTATTTTATTTTATTTTATTTTAATGAAAGACTTAATGGATCTTGAGTCACACAATAAGAGTGATTCTTTCTTGATTACATTGGAACTGAGAAAATCATAGTTTTTGAGACACGAATTTGTTTGGCTAAATGAAGTTATGAAGCACTAAATTAAACAGAAAAAATATGAATGTTTATTAGTTAAAATTTGAAGATTTTTACTTAGTGATCTCATGCTCGATGTGGGATATGAGATGAAAACTTAAGAACGAAAAATGGTTGCCTCCCTTATGGTATCTTAAAGCCCATTAGTTTTTTTATTTTGTTATTTTTTTATTCATATATTTAAAAATATCATCAAAACTAATCTATTAAAATTTAAACTCATGGTCTCTTTTTATAAAAAATTATTATTAATGAGCTACAAGCTATTCAATTGTTAAAGCCCGTTAAAACACAGACCAAGATATGGACTATGCATTGTATCCAACTCAAATTGTGCAAAATAGTGATGACAACATTGGAAATCAAAGTAATATTACCAAGGCACCTAAGGTGTTTTTCCCTTAAGATATTAGCAGGGTGTCCAATTCAAACAGCTAACTTAAAACATTGTTGGAAAAAGCTCTCTCTCTCTATATATATATATATATAGAGAGAGAGAGAGAGAGAGAGAGAGAGATCGCATGTATTGCTCCGTACATTTCTTACATAAGAAGTTGGAACATTTGTTTTTTTTGTTTGGTAGGATGGTTCAGAAAAATTATGAAAAGGAAATAAAGGGTCAACCAAGTGGCAACATAACCCACTTTAATTTATTTGTGGGCAGCAAGTCAACCAGCTACCAATCCGATGCTGTAGGAGAAGACTGGTAGCTAGAGTTGAGGGTCTGATAGGAGTCATGTGGACATTAGGTCGATCAAGTGATGATTTTATACTGTCCGTGGCCACAAGATCAACCTAGCTATATCTAACAACAACAACAACAAATTTAGCAAACGTCTGCTGTATGTATATATAGATACATATATTCTACTTCTGCCCATAAATTATAAGTTGGTAAATTACAACTTTTCCTTAAGGTAACATTAAATCAAAGTGAGCAACCAAAAATTTCAAAATTGTTAGAAACATCCTTCATTTAAAACAAAAAATAAATAAATAAAAACTACAAAAACCTCTTTGATACTCAAATTGTCATTTTGTTTTAAGATTTAATCTTCTTTCTATCTTTACACATCTAATTGCTCACAATATATTCTTATATTTTACATCTAATCTCCAATCTATCCTTCTACTAGATATTTCCATAAAAATTGATGGAAATACCATCAATTAAGAAACTCAACCCCCAAAAAGAAAAATGAAAAGAAAATGAATTTTTAATATATTATTTTAGGTTGAGTTTCTCACATGAAGTAATTTCATCAATTTAAATAAGAATACATTGGAGATTAATGATCTAATATTTAAGAACAAATTAGAAGCAATTAAAGTTATAGAGATAGATCGGTGATATGTATAAAATATAAGGATAAATTACACTAATTCTCCAAACATTAGAGACATATATTTTAAGAAAAAAACCCAAACCAAAGTTTACCAAAATTAATATTCTTCACCCCACCAAAAACTTAACTATAATTATTTTTTAAAATTTTTTCTGTAATTTTTTCAATTTATCTATATATATATTATTTTAAAGATATTGTAAGTATAAAAAAAATTGTTAAATTTTCAAACTTTTAAAGAGTGGTCGTATAATTTTAAGAGACCTCAATGGAGTAATTATAACTTGCTGTGGGCGACGAGTAATGGTGCCGGGCCACGCATGGTCCCCCCAAAGTTTTTCAACTTCACATTATAGTCCTTAAACTTTAGCTTAGTTTTTATAAAATTGTATATTGGCCGCTCCCTTAAAAATTATGTGTTGTATTTAAGCCCACATCTACTTCATAACTTGGTCCCCCAAGTAATTTATTCACCCGGGCACTGTTTATGGAGATTTTTTAATCAAAATAATCATTATTGTCTTTGTCTTTTTTTTTTTTTTTTAACTTCTTTTTTGAGAGAAGATTATCTTTGAGCTATAAATAAAGTATTCTACTAGCTAACTAGGGGAATGCAATGTTTTTAGACTACTAGCATTGCTAAAGGTTCTGACTTTTAGAGGGACGCAGAAATGTGCATCAAACTGTCAAGATGCCTGGTTTGAATGTTAGAAGAGAGAAGACTCAAAAACTGACCTTGGGATTGGTTGTTAGCTAGGAAACAAATCAACTTTGTGTTAAGCTTGGGCTGGCTTCAAAAAGACTCATATCCTCTAGCCCATGATAATAATCCAAGAAAAAAGCAGACTACAGATCTTGTTGTATGCCCAATTACAAATGAAAGTTCACAAGTGGATAGGTACTTGGTTTGTTTTTAATGCAAGGCATTGACTTGACTTCAACTCCTTAGGAAAACAAACATGCATGGCCACATCATGTATTAATTGCCCGAATTTGTACAATCTTTTTTATTGTACTATGTATGACTTGGTTTCTTGATGCTTTTACTTAATTAGTACTATGTTCTCGATGTTTTCAGGTTAGAGACTATCAAATGTAGAAGGCAACATTTACGCACCGTGTTGGAGCTTATATGCTCAAGTCTCATCCTCTCTGCTACCAACTGTAAGTGGTGTTTTTTCATCAAGCATTGGAAAAAGAACTTTAGATTGATGTTTGTTCACCAAGAAGAAGGAAAAAAAAAAGAAGGATACCTTGTTTAGATTATTTGGACTTGACAATACTATATATCCTTTATTTATTATATGCAATTGAACAACTAAATCACATGCATGTACTGAACGCATTCTTAGTAGAATTAAGGACTCTATAGCTAGGTACCTTATAAATATTTGGCTATCTAAATTAAGGATCCTGAGGATGAATTTGTGATGGAACCTCGAATCACATGCATGTTAAAGGATGCATAATTTGCAATCCTAGAGACCTCTTTTATGATAGCATGCGAACTATGAATGAGTTAGACAATAAAATATATGAAAGTTTAGATCAATGTTTAGGTTTGAGCATTCATGTCAGTGTATCTATATCGATAATTATAATTAGAGTATCGAAATTTAAATAAAATAACAAATTCAATTGTTCTAATAACTATTGTTGGTATTGCGTCCATGCTGAAGTATTAGCAGGATGGCAACTCCTAACAGTGTATCGTCTTTTTTCAAAGGAAATTAAGTGTGAATGTACTATAACTTTATATATTATTTATTATTGATTTAACTATTCAATGCAAGATATGTTCTAACACTCTCCCTCACTTGCGGTCCATCTTTTGGGGTCCGTCAAGTGACTTAGACTCCAGTGATCTTTGCTAGGCTATTGGACCTCTTTGAGGCTCCGATACCATATAAAGTTAGATAGTTGAGATTGGGTTCTATTCAAAAACTTTAAGCTTTATGGTAAGTGGTCCCTTTTCAACTTTATATATTATTTATTATTAATTTAACTATTCAATGTAGGATATGTTCTAACATGTATATACATGTGATATACAGAGCCACATGTATGCGTATGATGGAAATTATCATTTTACATGTGCATGAACAAAACGTCAAGCAATTCAGAAACAAATCTGTAGGATTCTATTCAAAAGACTTTAAGCTTTATAGTAGGTGGTCCCTTCTCAACTTTATATATTATTTATTATTGATTTAACTATTCAATGTAGGATATGTTCTAACATGTATATACATGTGATATACAGGCCACATGTATGCGTATAATGGAAATTGTCATTTCACATGTGCATGAACAAAACGTCAAGCAATTCAGAAACAATCTGTAGGATATGTCAAAGGTACGTAAAAAGTAGAGGATCACATGAGTCTGCATGCATGGGAAGCCCAATCACCATGCATTTAACTTTTGCAGGTTGCAAAACATTTAATATCACACATAGTATATAGCATCTATTTTTAACAAGTATAATGCTGTGATATGATTGATCTGAAATAGAAGCTGGCTAGCTAGCTAGAGCCTCCTCATTACATTAGAAAAAAACTTTTTAGTCATGCTACTCATGCCCTTAAAATGATATCATTTTTCAAGGTATCATGGGATGTGGATCTAACTAGTGGTGGATCTTACATGCATAACCCTAAACTTTGTTAGTATTCTCAATGCTAGTACTAGTGATCACTCCCAGCAGACTATCCTCCTCGTGGAATATTACTCTAGAGTCAATGGTTTTTATTCCATCTTATTGCCAAGAACAATCATCGATCTGTTGCCTTTTTGGGGTTTTCATGTTCGTAGAATTTCCTCTCTTCAATTACTAGCACATGCTTTCTTTCTTTCTTTTTTTTTTTTTTTGTCCACGTCTTTGCACTAACTTTCATTAACCATTGTAGAAAGTGCTGAATATACAACCTCAAAAACAAAAAGTGTTTCAACCTATTACAACAATCTTTGTCGAATACAAAACAAGTGTTCTTCAAAAGATGCGACTTTTGCTTAACATGGAAAGTGCTCCAAACATCATTTTACCTCACATGCGACTTTTGCGATTAGGTTCACATATGCAAGCTCCAAACGAGCTGTGCTATTAGGTTCTCTTACGGTTCCATTGACGAACCATCGTACAAAATTTTTTAAGCTTTTACTACAAGGAGATCAAAAAATATTAGTATCTTAGCAACTCGTTTGGATTTTGCATATGTGGACCTAGTCGCACAACTAATTACGATTTTGAGTGATTAATTCTTGAATTTTGGGCGGTTTCAAGATTCAAATTAAGCTTAAGCGACATTAATTGAGAATATTAAAAACCATTATAAATACTTCTACATTCACATTTGAATACTTTATTTTTCTTATAAATTTCCTAGTACATCTCTATATTTTAGTTCATTTGTTAGCAAATTAGAGACAAGGCTAAGAGAGGATGAGAATATGAGACCCGAACTTGTGATCTTTTTATTATTACGGTTTCAATACCAAGTTAAAAAATTATCTCAATCTAAAAACTTAACATGTTGAATGAAGTTTTATGAATGTTTTTATATTAATGTCTAAGAATCAATACCATTGAAAGTATACATGACTTCTCTCTATTAATTCTCTACTATTAAATTTAGTTTTAGTTTCTACATCTGAAATTTATGATATTTTAACTTTTGTTTATCCATATGTGAATCAACAATTGACCAGGAATTGGAAAATGCAATATACAATCCTTGCAATAATTAGCATAATAACATCTAAGAGGTACAATCCATAGATAATTAAAAGATTTCTTTGATGAATGTACCCTTTCTTTGATTTGATTAGAACAAAAGTTGCTAGAACAACTTTGAGCACATTTCTTACATTATCTATTTAATTTCGAGAAAAATTTGATATAAGCTGACTTACAATATTCATAAGAACTATAAATACGGAACAAAACACATCCACACACACACAAATCAATAATAGCATACATTATCGTTTGGCCAAGATTTTGAATACAAGAACAAATTGTTCATGTTCTTACAAATACAACACAACAGCAAATGATAAATAGGATGCTGAAGTAGAACAATAACAGTAGATAGAATTAATACAGAAAAAATAACAAACCAAATCCTATAGGTTTTTTTTTAAAAAAAAAAACTGATTGCCAAGTGTAATTTCATGCCTTAATAGAAGCAAAGATGACTATGATAGGCTACTCAACATGCTCATGACCAACCCTATTTGGAATCATTTTGTTGAACAGAAGAAGGCATGAGAGTAGATTCCCAGCCAGTATTAAGTCCAAATGTTGTGGCAGCAATTGAAGCCAACGGATCTGAACTGGGTTGTGCACTATTCACATTAGGCACATTAAAGATCTGATGTTGTTGGAAAGCCTCCTCATTTATGAGTGAATTGAGGAATGAAAACACATCTTCGGTGCCGGTATGGATATCTTCAGCTTCTCCATTCCCAAGCCTTTGATTGCCTCTCAAATCCACCCCAGAAGTACCATCATAATTCAGCAAATTTGTATAGCCATGACTTGCAAGAATATGATCGGTGTGATACTGATCATCCAGGTGGGCATTGATGTTGTTTTGATAATACTCATTTTCTTTGTTGCTGATTATGTGAGTACTGTCACTTGTAGTTTCTTCCAAAGCAGAAGAAACAATCTTGATAGGTTCTTTTAGACTTGCTTGGTGCAGATTCGCTTGAGACGAAGAAGGTTTGGATTGATCAAAAGATTGAGTATTGAGAGGCTTATGTGTTCTTGGATCAATTCCTTGGCTTATCAGCTTCTTACTCAGGTGAGTGTTCCAGTAATTCTTTATTTCATTATCTGTACGCCCTGGAATTCTCCCAGCTATCAATGACCACCTAAAGAAACAAATCATTGATCAAGTCAACATAAGTAGCTAGTCCAAGTTAAGATCTAGCTCAAATTTGTTCAAACTAAAGTGATATGTATTTTGTTTCTAGCTAAATTATCAGAAACCTGCAAAGAAAAAAGGTGCAATATACAAACCCAGATCAATGATAATACAAGATTCAAGTACATCATTCATTGTAAATAACCCAGATTCATGTTTTGAGCTAAATTAGCTACAAAACTAATTGAAGAGAGAAACCACCTAAATTATATATAGATCAAAACCTAGCTAGAATATTGGTTAACCAAAACCCTAATGAGAAAAGAAAAAAAGTGAACCAAAGCTCTTCCACAAATAATCCACTGCATGTATAGCGAAACCCTAAACCTAGTTTGCTAGACTAACTAAACCAAAAACAAAAAACCCTAAAAGAAAGAAACCCAGTTCAAGAAACAAGGAATCTAAGACAAACCCAGAAAAGGATTGTATTAAAAAACACTAACTGATACAAATATCTGAATATACGTATCTTTATGTGTGCATACCTATTGCCCAGGAGGCGATGGAGACGGAGAATGAGATCTTCTTCATCAGGGGCGATCTGCCCGCGTTTAACAGAAGGGCGGAGGTAGTTCATCCAGCGGAGACGGCAGCTCTTGCCACAGCGGAGGAGACCAGCTTTCTTGGGTAAAGTTCGCCACCGACCTTCACCTTCTTTCTTGATATAGCTAGCTAGGAGTTCATCTTCTTCCGGTGTCCATGGTCCTCTCTTTAACCCTACCTTGCTGCAACATGGGGTCGTCTTTGGTGCTGCTTTTCCTGCTGCCGCTGGAGATGAACTCGGCTTTCTCATCTTGAATAATAATTTCTTGAAAGTACTCGGTATATCTATCGATTGAACTACACTTTAGCTTACCGACCTTTTTCTTGTTTTCTCTGTATTGAGTTCCTTATCTTCCTATGAATATCTTGGATTTTGTATCTATGTATATCTTGAATGTCTAGGATGTTGTGTAATGATATGATGAGATTGAGGTTTGATAGAGAGGAGGAGAAGGAGGATTGGAAAATGGGACTCTTTCTCTTTTGTTTTTGTGTATAGTAAATGATGGTGGTTTTTTTTGTTTGCTTTCTCCTTGGACCAGACAGTGTAAGGTTTGTTGGGTTCATTTGAGAGAGGAAAGAAAATTATTTATACTCACTCGCCTTTGGAGAGAGTGAGCACACTTAGCCAATTTTGACCCTATTCATTTGGATACAATTTTTTTTTTTTTTATCTCTACATTCATCATCCATTTGATTTGATTTTCACTTGTTATATCTAATCAACAATTAATTGGAGATTTAGTTTGATATTTTCTATAATTATTAGGTTAAGAAACGCATTAATCAATCAAATTAAGATGACTAATTAGTTATGATTTTTTAGAGATATATGCAGAAAAGATCAAATCTTCAACTCGTTTATAATATTGTCGAGAAAAAAGAATAAAAATCCAGTTGTATACTTACCCGATGATGATTGATTAAATTAAAAATTTTCTTTTGGAGAAATTATTCAAGGATTATATTGAACTTCTATACATAAATCTAAATTATCTTAAAAAGATTTTGTTTTAATTATGAATGGATAAGAGAATGGATAAAAAAAATTAAAATGAATGGATACTATTTCCTATGGTACGTACTGTATAAGATCAGTACTCAACAAACACGTTAAAATTTAAATTTTTGAGAAAATTTAAATGTGTCCTATAGATTGTACAAAAATAAATTAATGCTAGAGAAATTTTCAACTGCCGATGTTTTAAATGAGTCCTAAAGCTCCACTACATGACATTTTCTTCTGACTAGCAATAACAAAAGGCTATAAAAGTGTTATTCTTTTCTTGGATGCAACAAAATGTTAAAGGATAGAAACAGTAAAATGTGAGGATGCTTTCGGTTTGAAATTTTTCAAATTTTATGGGTAATAACACATTATATTTTTATATAATAGAGTTAGTTGACTAATGTGTCTTTACGTTTTAAAGTGAATTAGTTATATTTTTATATTTAAGATGAGTTTTCAATCTATTGTTTTAGAAAAAAATTTCGGCCAAATTACTAAAAAATAAAATCATACGACTTGCACATGATCGATTTTTTTACAAAAATATCCTTAACTGAACATGTATAAGTCACGTTTTTTTTTCTTTTACCATTAGTTTAGAAAAAAATATATAGTTGTGTACAAGTCACATGACTTTTTTGTGATTTAGTTACCATTATTTTAGAAAAAAATATATAGTTGTGTACAAGTCAAATGACTTTTTTATGATTTAGTTAGAAAAATTCATCAGGATAACAAATTGAAAATTCACTAAAAATACATAAATATAATTTATTCATTTTCAGATATACAAAAAAAAAAAAAAAAAAAGGAGTTAAATTGGCCTAATCATTTTAAAATTTTAATTCATTAGAGGTTAAGTTTCTGAATTTCAAAATTGATTTTGAAGATCCTTAAACTTTAAACTTTTTAAAACAAAGTCTATATGTTAGTTTTTCATTTAAAAAAAATGATAGAAAACTCAAAAAAAAAAATCAAAATTAAGATCCTCCATATTCAAAAATCACTCTCTCTCTCTCTCTCCCCCTCTTTCCCTCCTTCCCCACCCCATCATTAATGCTCTTTTCGTTACTTCGGATGGAATTTTTTTTAATTTTTTTATTATTTTAGATAGAAAACTATCAAATGACTAGATTTCAGAAAAATTAAAATTTAGAAATCCTCAAAATTAATTTTAAAGTTCAAGAATCCAATTTTGAATAAGTTAAAATTAAAAAGTAATTAGACTTATCTAACCTAAACAAAACATATGAAGCATTGATATATATATATATATATAAAACAACATAGCGGATCATTTATCCAAATTTTTTCCTAAATTACGAGACTCTAAGAGAGTGGGTAAGTAATAGTTCAAAGGAAGTACGAAATACCGCAGGAAGAGACCAACAATGGAGCCCACACAGGCTCCCTCAGCCACGCATCTCTAGGAGCTAAGACAACAGAATGGCACAGTGCCAGTTCACAAAAACCCTTCTCCATTAAGTTTTGCTACAGTAGATCTTTTACATCACTTGAATGACGTGTGCACCTGCAGATAGATTTAGGTTAGCTTCATTGATTATCCTATTGAACATTTGAGTCCAGAAACGTTGAGAAGTCTGTGATTATTTTGGGCTAATTTAACTTTTATTAAGGATAAATCTCAATTTGTATTCTTGAGGTTTATGTGTTGTCTCAATTTACATAAAATCTTTGATTTGCTTTAACTAGATTTTGTTTTTTTTTTTTTTTTACTTTTTTTCTATTATGTGAAAATTTCAATTTTGCATCCAAAATTCATAAAATATCTTAAGATAACGCAAAATGTAAGAATGAACAAATTGAATTAAAATTATATATTTAAAAAAATGACATTTTTCCAATAAAAAATATGATTTAAAAAAAAATTTGTTTTTCATGGATATTATCTAGCAATTTGATTGAAATACTTTTTAGAAGATACTTTGAAATTTACACACTTGAGGGAGGGAAATTGAAATAAAAACGAAAGATGTGAGAAATACGGGAGCTACTAAAAAATTCCGAATAAAATTGAGATAACATATAAAACATCTAGAAGTCAAATTAAAATTTACTCTTTAATTAAAAAAGAGAATGGGAAAAAACATCCTAGCCAATTGATCGAAGAAGTTTTGAGATAATGTTAAAAAAAACTACTTCATCATAGAATTTCGAGTTGAAACAACTTCATAGAATGGTTATAAATGAATCAATCAACACAGCTTTAACTCCAAACAATACAGTTATTCTTATTAGGTCTTTATGTCAAGCTGTAGCCAACAACAATAGAAGGGAGCTTTGCTTCGATGTTGAAGCTTACCCCACCTCTGTGCACACCTCTGTGCACAGTTTCTAGATTTTGGAAAAACATGAGAAGCTTTATGTGGCATGACGAACCTGTTAAAGGTGATATTTGCTATCATCTTTTTTTTCAAAAAAATATTCCTGAGAAACACGACAGCCTATTTTGCTACCCTACTAGAAAGCAAGAGGACATGAAACCTAAAAACTACATGCCCCATCTCTCCTATCATGGAGGCAATCCCATGAACTTATCCAGTTTGTCTTTTCCAAAGAAATTGACATGAGAAGAAAACCAATTTGAAACTTTCTGCCAACAGAAATTCAAAAACTAAGGCCCTTTTTATTTCTCATGTGGCTGAATTTCAGTTGAAAACTTGGGAAAGTTGGTCCACCTAAATATTGAGCCCGGCCTACTGCCAAACAAAACTATTGGGCCTGCCCGTGACAAGAAAAAACGGGACATGACATCTGGTCTTTATGTTTTTTGTTACAAAAGGAAGAACCCGAGATGGGAAGATAGGTGTAAGTTGAGCTAAAATATGTTAACCATAAACAAAATGCACAGAATTTTAACTCTAACCCAGAAGTCAGTTCTAAACAGTGAAAAAGTCCTTGGTAAATACACAAACTGAGATCACGAATTGGGAATCTGAGACAAAAGCCCTACAGAGAGCATCACAACATGGTAACAACAAAGCAGAACAGTAGAGGAATACAAGGGCACGTAATGCAGGATTCATACACTTGTGATTCTAGTAAAAAGGAAGAAAGAAAAAGCTTCTTGTTGCATACTAGAGAATATGAAGGCACTAAACTGCTTGAGAGTTGGGTGGAAGAGCTTGGTTATGTTGATAATACAATCAAACTACCAAAAGAATGCTCAAGAAAACATATATATATCTTACAAATACGAAAGGGTTTCCCTCGAGAGAAGGATTGGCGTGCTTCTATATTAAAAATTCAGAAAAAGCTAATACTTAGGTTAGTTATGTCAAGACAGTTTCTGATCTTAAATACTTGTATTTCTGTTCTTGGTTGAACCATCTTGCAGTTCCGGTCAAGCCTTCAAATAAGATGCACCTTAATGCAACAACCCCCTCTGGTAATGCAGCATCAATCTTGTCCAAGAAAAGCACACAACACGATAAGGAATGAAAAGATGCCTTTCTAACTACTCAACAAATGTGTATAGCTATAAACCAATGGCGAGCAGATATAGCCAAATCCAAATTAAACTTATTTTGAAAATTGGAACTATGAACTTACTCGTTCTCGAGCTGTTGCATTGAACTTCTGCAGCAGGTAAGCTTTGGGATCCATTTGACCAGGAGGCCTCCCAATTCCTAATAAGAAAAGACAAAAAAAAAAAAAAAAGAGTTTAGGTTTTTACAAGTTTGGAAGCAAATAAATGCCAACTGAAGTCTCACTAACCAATTCTTAGCCGAGCAAATTCTCTGTTCCCTCGGAAATGATTGATCACGCTCTTCAAACTGATGAAAGAACAAAAAAATAAAACATTAGCCGCACAAAATACTTCCAAAAGCAAAAAAAGTTCACTCTAAGCCATAAGAGATCCACTCGTTATGCAGACTGTAATCACATCAACAGCAACATCAATATTGGCTGAGGAACCAGACTGATTGCCAAGCCTTAGTTAGGACTTAAAACCACTGCAAGAGCGCAAACAGCCTTTGAAATCGAAATAGCATAGCAAACAAAACTCTATGTCAAATGTACACAGTATGGCTTTATCACTCCATGATACAATGTCCATCATTTCATTTTTTTATTACATTCTTGCAAGTTGCACTGGCTTCGCATTCATCAAAGCATTTCTATTTATCAGAAACATAATCTTTCTGTAAGAAATCGTAAATTCATTACACAACAATCTACCAATTCCTCTCCTGGGATTAAATACACAAGGCTTTCCAGACCATACCCTTTGTGGCATCCATGACCTCCTTTCTCTTGAAGTCGAAGCACCCCACATGGCAACTCCAAGTCATCATGAAACTATAGTTGCAGAACTTAGAAAACATCATTAAAGCAAAAATTTACATCACTCATCAGTAACCAAAAGGGAAGAGCACTAGATACGAGCAAACTTACCACAATTACACGATTAAGAGGTAACTTATAGTAAGCAGCAAGGGGTCCCGCCTGCATTTGAGCAAAAAAATATATATAAGTTATTTGCTGATTCGTTAAATTCCTCCACAAAAAAGAATTTAATTCCCTAGAAACTATCGATTACACAGCCAAGTCAAGCAATATCCTTAAACAATCACGCCAAAAGAAATTATGAGATTGATTCACTCACTGATTCACCACTCAGATTCATGTAAGTTTGAGGCTTCGCAAGAAGAACAGGTGCTTCACCAACAAAACCTGAAATTACCAAGCCTCCATCAGCACTTCCACATAGATAAAGTTCATTTTTTTAAAAAAAAAAGGAAACAAAAGAAAGAAACCACAAGAAAATGCGTTGGACAAAACCACCTTCTCCAAAAAGAGCTTTACAAAGCGGTTTATTCATAGAAATCCCTAGTGACTCAGCAAATGCATCAATCATCTCAAAACCCACCTGCATCAATACAAGTTTGAGTCAAGCAACAGTAAAAGAAACTAAATTTCACCTGGGTTCTGTGAGATTTTTATACATACATTGTGTCGAGTTCCTTTGAATTTCTCGCCGGGATTTCCCAACCCAACAAAGAGCCATGGCAATAGTGTTGTGGGAGCAGCAGCAGCAGTGCAAAAGCAACGCCTTGAAACTCTGTTCAACATCTCGCTTCATGAAGGAGCGTTGGTTTCCTTTAAAACTGTTTTCCTTTGCGTTTACAGAATGGAAAAAAGTGACCAGACAGTTTCGTTTAGGCAAAATGTCGAATAGTTGGCATGCAGTTTGGTTAAACACAAAGCAAAAGTTCAAAAAACTTCGCGGAATGAAGAGGTTGAGGACAAGAAGTCGATAGTGCCTGGCTAGATACAAAATCCGGTGAAGCTCCCCGTCCCCGGAGAAGAAGATGGCGTTTGACGAGGAAGGGAGGGAGCCCGGCTCTTTCTTTCGCTGATCCTTTTCCCTTTTATAGCAGGGGCCGGCATTTTATACCAGGCGCCAAACGCACCGTTTCCTCTCAATTAAATTCCCCGCTCTCACTTCTATGCAATTGTTTATTTTTGTTCCCGTTTTCTCTCTTAAAAGATTTCCACTACAGTAAGACATCATGCAAATAAAACAACAATTTTTTAGACATTCCTAGCATTCTAATCCCACTAGTTTATTTATTTATATACAAATAATGCAATATTTTTTAAATTTTTATACCAATTAAAATTAAGTTTAGTACTTTTTAAATTAGAGTTATGATTAAATTTTTTAGAGTCATGAGGGTAAGTACCAAATTTTTGACAATCTTTGATCATTTAAATTGGCTCAATAGCATGACTTATATGGCTTTCTCCCCCTTTTTGTTGTTGGTGCTACTGCTACTGCTAGATCCACTCTCCTTCCTCGCTAATCCCACTACTGATTTCCATCTCCCACCTCATGAGTACTGCTCAAACGGAATTGTTACTGTGGAAACGCAAAAGCAGAAGAAAATGGAATTGCAGAAGCAAAAGAAGCGGGAAAAGGATGCGCGTTATCCACTAAACAAGAAGGTTAGTGCCAATCCATTTTTACCGTTGGCCAAACTTCAAATAAACGCCACAACTGATAGAGGGCATTTCAATTGAGACCTTCACATATTTATTAATCTTCTTTAAGTCCTCAAAGATTCAATAAATTATTAATTTAATCCCATCCATGTGTATAAATGGATTCCGTTCAAACGGTCCATTTATGCATAAGAAATGACGTTGGTTTGTAAGGATCTTAATGATTAATTACTCTTTTTTGACGAGTTTGTTAAAAAGTTGGACTGGGAATTTTTGAAAACGTTGAGGAATTAATTAAGATCGAATTTTTTAAAGATTTTCATTGTAACTGGAGGACTAATTTGACATTTATCCTTTTTTTGGTTCTTGTTTTTCATTTCATTAACGGGTTCAGTTCTATCCATCGTAACGGACTAAAGCCCAAAGAGACATAGACATGAACTCAATAAATAAAGGAGACTTTTGGATCCAATAAAACAAGCCCACCGCTTGTATTTTATTTATTTATTTATTTTTCTTCCATCTGACTGTTTTTTTTTTTTTTTCCCCTTTATGAATCGTGTAGAAAAGGGAGAAAGAAACCATTCTTGAAAATTATAACTTAAAGCAAGAAAACATCCGACTTACGAAGAAGCTAAAATCGATTGAGCTTAGGGTAAGGTTTTTTTCTTCTATTTTTTTTTATCAATTGTTAAATTTGATTTCAGTACGTACAAAGGAACTAAGCCCATGAAGCCAACCTCCTACTACTGATTTTCCTTCTTGTTTTTTTTTTTTTGACAGTTCGAGACCATATATGCTGAAATGAAGAAAGAAATGGAATACATAAAGAATGAAAATGAAGTCAACGAGTGTCCATTGAATGATCCTAACATCTGAAACATGATTAAGGTTGTAAGAGAAAATGAAGAACTGAAAAGAATAGTAGAATACAAGGAGGCCATCATCATAAGGTGATTGAAAAGCTTGAAACAAGGCCTGTTCAAATGGGATTTCTTGTAAGCTGTGTGTGCATTGTAATTGGGCTGTCCTGCAATAAATCATGTAGATCATGATTTAGGATTTAGATCTAAAAATACAAAGTAAGGCCTTCATTGTACGAGAATAGGAATGTCTCGGGCCATGAATATAGAATCATTTATTTGACTTAATCTAACATTTTAACTTTGTGTTTGTCTTAATTATTCCAAATTATTCCTGTACTGATAATTTATTCAAAAACACCCAGTGTTTGTAACGTTACTTTAATTAGACTCGATGGTTAGTTACTCTGTTAAATAGGTACGACATTAACAAATAATTTCCATATAAATAGATGACGTCATGTGGTCAACCAAAAAAAACATTCCCCTCACCTACTCACATGAGCCCCTCTCTTTATTATATAAAAAATAAGCATGACGTCAACAAATAATTTGTGCCAAAAGAACAATATCAGCCAATCTTATGATCCGGTGAAAGAAGTTTGTTTTCCTAATATATATATATATATATATATATATATATATATATATATATATATATATATATAAAAAAATATGGGAATTTTTGTCTGTAACAATTGGAGTTTATGTTCACGAATATATATATATATATAAGATGGGATCTCTTTGTTTGTAATAACTAGAGTTTATGTTGATGGTCTGTATTTTTTTTATAATTGTTTTGTAATAGTTTTATAAATAGGGTTGAGCTCCTATTCTAATCTCTCTTTGTTTTTTTTTTTAAATTAACGAAAGCTATTTATTTATTTATAAATAAATAAATAAAAAGAATTATAAAGTCATTCACCTTCCAAATTCCATCGATTTCCAATTCCCTCGTTACATAGTTTTTTTTTTTCAAATAAGGTTAGAATGCCATTAATTTCTACTCATTTCTCTCTTCCTCTCCGTTTACTTCTTGTCCAAATAAATTGTAAAATTTGTTGATAATAACCACATATAGTTCACAAAAAGTTACGATCCTTAGCCATTACCTCGCTAAAGAAACTTTGTCAGTGTCTTTTTTTTTTTTTCCTTTTTCCCTACTTTTTCTTTCATATGTCTCTCTTTTTCATGTCCATAAAACTTGTAAACTTGTAATTGAATGTAGAATAGAGGAGTGAAGCGTAATTTGACACCAAAATCGACACGTTGCTAGCTTGCCAGCATCATTCCCCCGATCGTGAATGCTCTGTGACACAAACACATATAGTATTGTTAGTTTTGTCGTTAAGTTTCTTTGGAACAAAAGAATGCAAACAAAAAGGCAAAAGCGCCTAAAGGTATAAAAGAAATTAATGAACAAGGAGAAGGTTGGGAAAAAACAACGCTACTCCGATAGTCAATACAGACACGGGCTGGCACTTCTCGAAGTCCATAGGCAATAAAAAAATAATAAAACGGCAGAAGAACAGCTGACATGTAAGAAAAGGAAGAGCAAGAAGAGGAATTGGAAAGGCAAACAGAGGCCACAAAAGCCAACAGTGAGAGAAACAGTGATGAAAGAGCAAGGCAGAGAAAATGAAAGGCATGCAGAGGCGACAAAAGCCAGCAGTTGAAAGAAATAGTAGATATAAGCCGACATCCACACTCCATCTAAATCTAATTGAACGGCAAAATAAATAGTAGAAAGTAGTGTGGGTGCCCAGGTTTTGCTCTGAGAAAACTCTAGCATAGTCTAGAAGTGTGTTTGTATTTTATTGCTATAATTTTTTTTTATTGAGGATATTTTTTATTTTATATGAATTCTCTTTTATCTATTATTGTTTTTTATTTAGTATTATAAAATTTATGAATATTATTGCATGTAGAAGTTTAACATAGTATAAAAATTTTAATTATTGACTAAAAAGTATATATAGGTTGAACTTTAAAATGGACGAAAAGTTTTAATTGTGCATCGGGAAATATAAAAAGATCGATTCGTAAGTACAAAGGTTTTAATTATTAACTAAAACACATAGACATATTTGTTTTTAATATAAAAACATATAAATAAGTAGCACTTTCCAATCCAATTTTTCTTTTCTTTTCTTTTCTTTTTTTTTTTTATCGGATCGGGTTGAGATTAGCCCAATTCAACAACACATGGGTTGAGCTTAGCCTAACACATTTCGGTTTTAGCTGGACCCAAGCTCATAAACACCAACTAAATCTCCCTTTTCATTTTTTTTTCGGATCAAATGTCACGACTCAAGCCGACGAGCCGAAATCGGCACGTAGCCCGGGATGAGGTGACCTACCATAGGCTACATGAGCCTTAATCCTTCCTCTATTTCCTATAGAAATTTCGACATCATTTCCCCTATAATTGGAGGGTCTCAAAAATAATATATATCATGCATAAAAATCACAATATATATACACACTTCCAAATCATCTTCATCAATTCTCAATTATCATCAAGTCCCTCCATTAGACATCCACACTTTCTCATAAATCTCAATATTTATTAAATTGATTAACAAATACAAAATCCAATATTTAACATAACAAAAATCATAAATCACCATTTAACCATTCAAATACAAAACATGAAGACCCTCAACTAGCTATCCTCGGATTTGATGATGCTATCAGTGGAGCGACTAAGTGAAATAAAATATATAATGACTTATTACAATTCCAAAATGGACAATGAATACAAATTTGAAACAACCATGTCCTATACCCGGAGGAAGCAAAATAATGTCCGGGTAATACCTTCAAATCCGGAAAATCTATCGTCCTCTTTCTATGATCTAGCTTCGTATTATCTACAAAATATTTGAGGTTGGAGGGGTGAGTTTTCAAAACTCGATAGGCATAACACATATTATAAATCGTTATACATGCAATTATGCCAATGCATCTATCATACATGATTTACAACCAAGCAAACAATCGATAACTTTTTCTTTTTCTTTCTTTCTTAACAATTAATAATAGCATAACAATTACTTCAAATCACTCTATGCAAAATTGTCTATTCCTTTGGCCCTCAAAAGGGTAACTATGGCCCCCACGAGGGTAAACTCGGTCCTCAAAAGGGTAAACTATGGCTCCCGCAGAGTGAACTCTTAGGGAAGCACTACGACCATTCCCTAACCGACGATAATAGGTGCACCTAAGCTAACTATAACCCCGTTAGCTTAGTTAGTTTTG